TTCTGCCCTCCTGGAACAGGGAGTGTAGGCAGTTGGGTTGATTTGCATATCTGCCAGGAAGGCCTCTGGGGCTGACAAAAGGACTACAGAGAGCATCCTTCCCAACCCAGGTCACACACACACCTCCAACTCTATGCCCTGGAAAGTCATCTCAGAGATTAGATTCCCCACACCTGCAGGGTCATGTCACGCATCAGTTCCCTGAAATGAGACAGGGACACTCAGGCCCCTGCCTTCCTGAGCAATCACTAGGACCCCTCTGTTGCCTAGGGGCGGGGAGGGGGATGAATGGACTGTGATCTGAATGGTAAATTGCAGTCAATACAGAACCAGCCAACAAGCTTGGGACACTCGGGGAAACCATGGGGGGGGGGGGGCGAGCTGCAAAGCGGGGGCCTCAAAGAGATAGTGCTGTAAACATGCCTGGACCCGCAGCACCCCACACTCAGGAGGCTGCCAGAGTGAGTCTGCAACAGCCAGGAGCCAGATGCTAGCCACCTGCCAACTCGAACTCCATCCCAGAATTGCTGAGAGCCAAAGACTAACCCCTGAGTCCCTGAGCAGGGCCATCCTTGGGTTTGGCACAGAGCAGTTGTGGCTACCACATCTAGAATGCACTGCTGCTGCTGCTGCTGCTGCTGCTGCTGCTGCTGCTGCTGCTGGTGCTGCCTGGCACGCCTTTATTTTGGTGCCCTCAAGACAAGTCTGGTCCCTATCTGGTCCTGAGCTGAGACAAGGGGCTGCTCCCTTGAACAGACTCTCTGAAGCTAAGCTACAAAACGTGCTGTAATAGATTTGCTTAGGTCTTTTCAGCAACGTATACTGTCTGTGTCCTGAGGATTTGGTGGCAGGTGTACAGGATGCCCACTAGTGAGGTCACAAGACCCAGTGTCTCCAAAAGCCATTTGGAAAATGACATGGACACACTTGCTCCCTAAAGCACTGGCTGAGCACACAAGAGTTGTCTCAGGGAAGCGTCCATGAGACAAAGGCGGCAATGTGCTCAGTGAAGCATGAGGTGTGATCTGGGCCAGCAGGTTGTCCTTCAGTGACAGGGTCCTAAGAGGCAAGGCCACGAGGTGAAAATATAAAGAAGATAGGAAAGCTGGGGTCTGGAGATCTTGCACAAGCTGATGGCCTATACCAAGCGAGCTTATTAAGAGGTACAATATATTTTATGCTACCTGTGGGGGAAGTGGGACAGAATCAGAGGCAAGGTAATCAAGCAATGTGGAACAGAATGTCTCAAGAGTATCACAAAGGGAGCACATAGCCACCTTGGGACTGATAAGCACAGACCCCTACAGTGGGAAGTGTAAGTGTCTTGGGGCCCAAAGTGTAGTTAGCTCAAGGTCCTGGCTTCAGGCTATTACTCTGCCAGCGTTTTTCTGGCTTTAGAGAAGGAGCTGTGTTACTTCTCCCTACAGCAGGGCCTCAGGGGAAGTCTCCGGGTCACTCTGCTGTCAACAAGTTGCAACCAAAACACTGACGCTCTGCAGGCTGCAGATAAACAAGACCAAAGCGCAAGGCAGGGAGGCTTCAGACAAAGGGACGTGGGAAGAAACACTGACAGGAAATTGTCGACATCACAGAAAATGCTGGAATTATAAGAAGTGGAAAACGTAGGGAGAGACAGCAGCAGGGGCAATGCCCTCCCGTCACAGACCAGAGAGAGCAGAGCTGAGCTCCCTAGGGACGCTGTAATGCCTGCGGAAGGCAGGAGGACGAAAAGATCAAGCTGAGTCCAGACTCCACAGTGAAACTAAAACCCCGACAGCAATCACGCACGGTGGAGCCGGCACACATGGGCTTCTTTTTCTTTCTTATAACTATTGGCATGTCTCCCGACCATACAAATATGATGGACTCTTCCTGAATCAGGAGAAAAGAGTTGCTCAAAGTTACCAACAGCCACCTGTCATGGCTAGTCTTGGATGTCGGCTTGACTACATCTGGAATGAACTAAAACCCACACACCTGGGTACACCTGTGAGATTTTTTTGCTCTTTGCTGCATGCTCTCACTCTCCCTGGCAAGTCCATTCCTTCCCCAGCATCAGAGCCTACTTCTTTGAGAATCCGGTGTCTACTGAAGAGCGGCTCAGACAGGCAGCCTCGAAGACTGGACAACTACCGTGTTCTTGGCCCTTCCATTGGCAGACAGCCATTGCTGGACTAGCTGGACCATACAGCCTGTAAGCCATTCTGATAAATCCCCTCCATATACACACAGAGCAGGGTGGGTATTCATTCTATCTGTTCCTCTAGAGAATCCTGATTAATATGCCATTCCCATGAAAAGCATGGTAGTTTCCAGCAATTCCAGCAAAAAGGAGACTTCATAAAAGAGACAGGCCTTTTCTTTAATAATGAATGCTTTATTTTCAATAAAAATTCTGATGTTGAGGCTTATAAGACAAGTTAAGGGAAGAAATACTTAAAAAATTCGTTGCTGTGTGAAAATCAGCTCTTTACTCTTAACTCGGTGTCTCTCTTACTTTGAGATGCTTAGGCAGGTTTTCTGCTTTCTGCCCACCTTAAAATTCATCAACTTCACAACTCTGAGAAAGAAGTGTATTGTTTTGAAAAGTTATCCTTTTAAGAAGCAGTGTTGAGCCGGGCTGTGGTGGCGCACGCCTTTAATCCCAGCACTCAGGAGGCAGAGGCAGGCGGATCTCTGTGAGTTCGAGACCAGCCTGGTCTACAAGAGCTAGTTCCAGGACAGGCTCCAAAACCACAAAGAAACCCTGTCTTGAAAAACNAAAAAAAAAAAAAAAAAAAAAAAAAAAAAAAAAAAAAAGCAGTTGAGTACTTGGCGATTTTAGAAGAGGATGATTGAATCCTGTCCCTGAGTTCCCAACCGAGTCTACTTGGAGTCCCTTGTTCCCTGTTGACCTCTAATTGTTAGTCCCCTCCCAGGGACCTACAATGTCCTCACCTCCCACCCACTGTGTTCTTGTCTTGTTGCTGTGATGTTCAGAGGCCATTGACCTCTGATGCTAGCAGGACCTCTGAGAGGATTAAAAGGAAACCGTTTATCCAGCCTGGATATGGTGGCACATGCCTGTAATCAGGGCACTTGGGAGGTGGAGGCAGGAAGATCAGGAGGATCAAAAGTTCAAAGGTTATTCTCAGTTAGAAATTGAGTGCAAAACCAGCCTGGGTTACATGAGAACCTCAAAAATGAAAAAGAAAGAAAGGAAGAGGTGGGGGGGGGGTGAAGATGGCCACAGTCGGAGCAGCAAACGGCAGGGCTGGGAACAGAGCCAGCATGGTCTGACTTGGGAGCCAGTGTGTTCACCTCTGCAGCCTTAGTCACCCTCCCTTGGATGCTCATGGACCACCGTGTGTTTTTCTCACCGGCCCAGGGGTTACACAGGAGTAACTGTGGCTCCCTGGTGACTGGCCCACTTCTCAGCAGCCTGGCAGAACTTCTACATCCCACCAGATCTGCCTCCTGCTGCTGCCACCAAATGCAGTTTTTAACAAAATCTCTATTATTCTATTTATCAGTAAGACTTGAGAGTCAGAGGCTGGGGTGAAACCCTGCTAGCCCAGAGAGATGGAGGAGCAACGAGCTGGTGTTCTCTCTTCATAGGTGTCTCCAAAGAGAGTGTACTTCCACTCTGCCCAACCAAAAATGACCACCACATCAAAGTCCCTCCCTACTGCTTCCTGTGTATCTCTCAGTCCCTCTTCTAGACTCCCTCTGGTTCTCTGATTGCTTTCTGCCAACTAGTTGCTGGCTCCGCTTCCTGGCCCAAGGTTAATTTTATTTAACAAACATAAACGCAGACTCAGGATTCACAGTGTGATAGAATATCCCACAACAACACAGCTGAGTGGGGTCAGCCCACCCCTTCTCGCCCAAAAATGTTCTTTGGTTTTTTTTTTTGTTTTTGTTTTTTTTTTTTTTAAAGAGGCTAGAGGAGAGTAACTTCCATCATGCTCTTAAAAGTCTCTCTTCCCCTCCCAGGAATGGTGCAGCTCCCTACCACTTACCCTAGGAATGTGCTTTTGACCCCTGAGATGTAACTCTTGTAACTTTTTTATCTCTTCAAGGCTCCTGTAAGAAGAAGAGTTTTTAGGCTAGAGGAGAAGAAGTTAGAAGGACTTAGAACAGGAGAATTAGAATAGAAACAGAACAATAAGGAGACTGATCCAAAAAGTACAGTGTTAGAGAGTTTGCTCTCCCTCCGATACCCAGGTCCTTTGCACTCGGTGTTGTGTGCAATCTGAACCCTGAAGAGAGTCTTGGGCTGGACTCCATAGGTTCTAGTTAAGCAATGAAACAGAGTGTGGTGCACACACCTTTAATTTCAGCATTTGGGAGGCAGAGGCTGATCGATCTCTGAGTTTGAGGCCAGCTTGCTCTACAGAGCAAGTTCCAGCATAGTCAGGGTGACACAGAGAAACCTTGTCATGAAAAACCAAAATAAAATAAAATAAATGAGCAATGGACCTGAAATGACAAGGGAGAGCTCCGCAGTTCTGAGCCCCTCACCTGGGGTTGATTGCTGCTAACTGAGAGACTCGGTTCTCCCCAGCACCTATCCCAGACACCCTGGAATAAGGGTTTCCTCCAGGGACACCAGGTTCTCCTCCATCTCGTTTGCCTTGTGCTGGGGGACACCAAGGACTGTCACCAGGACTACATATTTATCAATGAGGAAACAGAGGCACAGACAGAGTGGGGGTTAGTCCAGCACTTGGACATGTGGCAGATGAGGACAGGAACAGGTGTACCTGGTCTCCAGGTCTCTCAGTAACATGTTGGTCACCATTTTCACTAATGCCTACATGCCTGAAGTTCATTCCCTGGGCATAGAGTAGATTGTGGGGCAGAATCAGTAAACTGTGTCTGAGTGATGTTCATCTTATGATAGAAGTCTCTGACTCAAATTCCCAGGCCCCTCATCCAGCTCTCCTCATCAACTCTGGTCTCGTGAGTCCCTGGGCAGGACTCACATTTGCAACACAGAATGCCAGTGTAGGAAGTCCTTCTGTATATGTGTTGCTTTTATTGGTTAATGAATAAAGTTGTTTCGGGCCAGTGGCTTAGCAGAATAGAACAAGGTGGGAATTCCAAGCAGACAGAGGAGGAGAGAGCAGGTGGTGTCAAGAAGAAGCCATGGAGCCGCCACAGGAGACAGACACCGGATGGAACCTTACCAGTAGGCCACAACCATGTGGCGATACACAGATTAATAGAAATGGGTTAATTTATGATATAAGAGCTAGCTAGAAAGACGCCAAACAGTATTGTAAAATAATATGGTTTCTGAGTGATTATTTCGGGTCTGGGCAGCTGGGAACAAACGAGCAGCCTCTGACAGCAGAATGCTCTGTTGGGGAGCAGGGGCTGGACTTTTGACACTATTCTACACCCTGCCTCTGTGGTGCTGATCTAATGACATGGGCTCTGCCATGTTACCATCACAAAGACTCCACAAAAGCCGAGTCAAAGTTAGAGGCAGGAGGAGGGCCAGGCCCCACTTGCCTGACACTCTTAAGTGGCTTCTTATTCACAGGGACACAGATCAGGACCTGGCACCCGCAGACAGGCTCATACATCACCTGTTCCTTCCAGAGCGGCACCAAGCTCTGATTTTCCTGATGGGCAGTTGATGCGGGAGGGAGATGACGTCTGTGAACCTGAATTTGTGCTGTTTGCCTGCCAGGGACCTTGAACTTGACAGCGTCCTTCCCCACAAGCTGGGGCAGGTGACAGCTTGGCAGGATGCAGTTCAGATACACACACAGGCATTGAGAGAGTGAGCTGGGGAAGGAAGGCAGGGAGACCATGCCAAGCCGAGAAGGCTTAAGGGACACGAAAAGAGAAGATGTCACCGTGCAGCTCCAGAGGTGACAGAGAGGAAGGGCCACCCTGGGGACAGAGGTCGTTAGCACGGGCAATGGGCAGGCTCCAGACTGCAGGAGGGAAGCTGGGCCTGGCAGGGCACAGCATGTTTTCTTCTGTCTCAGGAGCCATGGTTTTCAGATGCTGTCAGGAAGGATCCTTCAAGGACGATGGATGACCTGAGGAGCCTCAGGTGATGGCTGCTCCTTGGGCAGAAGAGGGAAGGCAGGGACGATCCAGCGCTTCCACGCAGGACAGCACTATTCAGAGACAATATCACCCAGTTTGTAAGAATGAAGGGGGGGATAGCCGTGTCTCATCTTCACAAATAAAATTCAATTAAGGGAATCTTCAGCAGGTCTTGTCGTGCAGCCCAGGGAAGGTGACAGCTGAGGAATGAGCCTCCTTGAAACGTGGCCACCATGCGTTGCCCCTTAATTATTCATGGGCATCCCTGATGCAGCTTCACTTTCGGCCAACTCATCAAAAAAAAACAAAAAATGGGTTCAGCTAGTGCGTCCATTTATTCTGTTTTTACATTTTAATGTATGTGTGCATGTACACATACGAGCACATACTCACATGAACTCACACACATATATAGGTCAGAGGACAGCCTTCAGGAGTCAGGTCTTTCACCCCACCATATAGTCCCAGAATTCAAACTCAAGGCACCGGGGTTGATAGTAAGCACCATTCCCCACCGAGCAGTCTTGCCAACCCTGACTAGTCCTTCGCCTCCACCTGCTGCTTGTATTACTTAACGATGTAGTTAACTGTGTGCCTCTGTCATATGTAAAGACCTCTTAAGAGCTGAAGAGAAAGGAAACTGAAGCCAGGATAGAGAAGGCCCTCAGAAGAGCGCACTCAAGCGCCCATGCTGGAGATCCATCCCCTGGATGAAGAGTCCAAAAATTCAAAGATGCAGTGTGCAGTTATTCCTACCAGAACAAGATACAAAAGTCACTCTAGTTCTCTCTTCTCTTGAGACAGGGTCTCATGCAGCTCAGGTTGGCCTTGAATTCCCTATATACATGCAAACGCACACACACGTGCACAGATGTGCACACATACTCATGCAGATGGATGTCTTAGACGAGTCATGGCAATCCTCCAGAAAGGATTCATGACACTCACCTGTACTGCTCTGAACACGTGTACTAGGAATTTGTTAAGAACCAAATTGAGGCGGGTGCTGGTGGTGCACACCTTTAATGGCAGCGGCAGGAGGATCTCTGTGAGTTTGAGGCCAGCCTGGTCTACAGAGCGAGTTCCAGGACAGCCAGGGATACACAGTGAAACCCTGTCTCAAAACTGAAAACAGAGCTGAGCCATGCAGAAGAGACAGAACTGCCTTTTGCCTAACCTGAGAAAAGCCAGCCGGTTACTGCAGCTGGTGCTGACAGGCAGAACTAGTCTTCGGTTTCTTGTTTGTTTGTTTCAAAACTCCAGAGGTTAATATCTAGATTGAAGTGAAGAATGGCGGGGGAGGGGGAGGGAGCGGGAGCTTGTTCTTAATCAAATGGGAAGTATATGAGAAAAAGTAGGGAAGGGAGGCTGTGAGTGGGGGGGAAAAGAAATCCAAAGGAAGGTCACCACTGCTCGAGGTGGTGGAGGAGAAGGATTGTTTATTAAAGGGGAGAGCATAGCCTGAGGCAGGGACATCTGGGAGAGTCTAGACTGAACCTGACCCTAGAAGGTAAAGGGGAAGGGAGAGGGGAGAACCAGGAGAGGCTAGGACAGACAAAGAAGAACAGGTAACCAAAATGGCTGGGTTACACAGGGAAGGGCATCTGGGGGAAAGGCAACCCAGCCCTGGAGCTGGAGAAGTTTAGGGTAGAGAATGTATGGACTGAGGGATGCTGGGGGAACCTGGCAACCAGATTTGCTTTGATATGTTAAATAGGCACCACAGTTAGCCCTGTGTCCCTGGCTTGAGACCTACGGGGCTAGTTCTTAATCCTTTAGCTGAGGAAGGAATTGTTTTGTCTCAGGGTTTCAGAGGTACAGGACAGCTCAGGGTAGCCAGGGAGGACACAGAGGGATGAAGGGCAGGAGAGACTAGGAGAGGCAAAGGGGGAGGGGGAAGGAAAGGTAAGCCCGAGTTCTCAGACGTCCTTCGGTTATTTCTTTTACTCCCACCAAGCCCCCCACCGATAGATGTTGGTGGACACATTCAGAGTACACCATCCCCCTCCATTAACCGTCTCTGGAAAAACCCTCATAAATGAACCTTTTCAGTGTCCAGGCTTAAAAAAAAAAAAAAACTCTCTATAGAAATCAACAAAATAAAATATATCAAGAAAAATGAGACTGTGTTTGAGTGTTCACTATGAAAATAATCCTGAATTGAAAACCTGTCTCATGCACACCTGCCCCTTGGCCTCTGCAGGGCCTCGAAGCAGGACCTGGCTCCTGCTACCCCTGGGGCAACCTTCAGCCTCCTCACCCAGCACCCAGCTCCCCGCAGCCCGAACAGGGTTCCTGTGGCCCCTCCACTCACAGAGCCGTCCAGCTCACGTTTTCCAAATGACATCAGCCCTGCGGGAGCCAAGTCTCTATTTGAAGCTATTTTCTTTGGCTCTTTGTTTTCCTCTTCTTAGACCCAGGAAGCAAGGAAGCGATGTTTGCTTCCCACCATGTTAACACGGAGCAGCCCCTTTCCGAGCAGAGACGCACGCGCTGCCTTAATTACGCGGTTGCTATTGAAACACAGAGTGAGAGACAAAGCCCTTCATTTGGGAGGAAAATTAATTGTACACAAACAAGAACACATTTCATCGTGAATTAGATTCTTCAGCACTCCCCTGGCGGAGAACTTTCTGGCTGCTTCTTTTCTGTCTGACGTTCCGCTTTCTCCCCTTCTTTGGGAGATTTTCTTGGCAAAAGGACCAGGCGTGAAGGTCCCTAAGGGCTGCGCTGGCTGCTTCCCTTTCTTTACAGCCCTTATGCGGAGGCTGCCATTGCTCCAGCCCACCTGGAGCCTGACCCTGTCTGCAGACAGTCCCTTCTCCTCAGCCTCTGAGGAGTGACAGCCCCTCAGTCCCCAGGCCTCTGCTCCTCCCCAGCCCCCAGCTTCAGGGGTAAAGGAAAGCTTAACCGTGATGAATCACAGGACGGGAGGTGGCACGGGAAAGAGCTCGCTTCCACCGCAACTGCGAGATTTATTGCCGAGTGCCGCAAGTAATGAAACCATCCATCTCCCACGGGCTGGAAGGGGAACGGGCGCAAGTCTGAAAAGGGCAGTGAGGAATTCGGCCTTGTTGGAACAGTTGGTGGCCAGGATACTCTGTGATCTCGCTGCCCTGGGGGGAGGGGAGGAACGTGTCCTGGAAGTGCCCTACAGAGTGGACTCCCCGGACCTCTTACTAAGTTAGAGGAGAAAAGAGGATCACTGATATCCCGACCTGTTCATCTGCAGAGAATCCTGTACTCTGGCCTCCAACGCTTCACAGGAGGGGGGTGGGGGGGGTCAGCCTCCTCCTCTCCAGGGACACACCCTCTTACCTGTTACTCATCCAGAAACAATACAATTGTCCTCACATCTTGAGGACAGCTCAGTACTCTCTCTGGAACTCACAAATCAGGGATGAAAGCTCACCTGAGGATCGCCAGCGTCTAAGACACCCTTCCAGAACTTTTCATTGTTCTAATGATCTGTCCAGCTGTTGGAGGTAAAACTCAAAACTTGTGTTGGTCAGGGTCACAGCAGCGGGGGGAGGAGGAGGAGGAGGAGGAGGAGGAGGAGGAGGAGGAGGAGGAGGAGGAGGAGGAGGAGGAGGAGGAGGAGGAGGAGGAGGAGGAGGAGGAGTCCTCGCTGCTTCCTTTCAGGAGAACCTGGAAATTGCAGGTTTCAGGTTTGAGCCTCTGTGGCCCCGGAACCAGCAGAAAGGAAGGGCTGCTCCTGTACCCACACACCACCCTACAACTCTACATAGGCCCAGTTCCCAAACACACTGCATACAGATCACAGCCCCTGGTGTATGTACAAAGGGGTACATCCTGGTTCCTGCACTGAAGTCCTGCACCCTGCAAAGTCCTCCACTCTGTGAACTATCACCTGTATGACGCATTGCTACAGTTTGTCCCCATAGAGGGCAGAATGGTGACCTCCTCTGCCCCTGCAGATGCAGGCCCTGCCCTCCTCAACGCCCCACCATGGACCCTGGAAACTTGATCTCAGTAGTGGCCTCACAGGCTTCCTAGCCTCTGGCTTCCGCTGGGAATTTGACTAAAGTTTGGAAAGACCCACTGCAGTTAGGTGAGGCTGGGATGTCAACGTCCTGGCCTCCTGTCCATTGCTTCCATAGCGGCTGCATCTCTCTGCTAGCCTCAGCCTCCGCCAGGTGTCCCTCAGCTGAGATTTCAATACTGTGGTATCCCAGTCCCTCTAGTTGCAGTCGGCTGGGTCTTGTCCTGGGCACAGCTGACTCTTATGACCCTGCCCTTCCTGCATTCATTGCCGCTTCATTAACCTCCCTTCAACCCTCCTTCCTGGCTGAGTTGCATGTTTCCTGACATTTATCCCCTGTCTGGTACACCTGACTGTGTCAACCCTCTCTTACCCATGGCTTCTCTTTCCAGTGTTCTGAAAACTGCAGCATGGAAAATTCCGGAAAAAAAAGTAACTCCTAAGTTTTAAATTTTGTCTCACCAGAAGCAGTGCTGCAGTGCATCCATCCCATTGGAACCTGGTAGCCGTCTGGGTTATCAGACCATCAAATGCCACCAGAGCCACAACGGCTCATGTGGAGTACCAGTTTGACAGAATTTAAAACCACCGCAAGTGCACACCGCCGGGAATGTCTGTGAGGACACTCTCAGAACTATTTCATTAAGAGTGAAGACCTACCCTAACTAAGGGCTGAAATTCCAGCCTGAATAGAAGGAGAAGGCAAGTCGATCACCTGCATTCATCTCTCCCGGCTTCCTGACTGGGCAATGTGACCAGGACCTTAACACTATGTTCATGAGACCCTTCCTTTGTCTAATAACAAGCCCCACAGTGATATACTGTCAAATTATTCATTGTGGTTATGGTATAGGAGTTCCTTCTGTTTGTGTGTTGCTTTCATTGGTTAATGAATAAAGAAACTGCCTTGGCCTTTTGATAGGGTAGAACTTAGGTAGGCAGGGAAAACAGAACTGAATTCTGGGAGGAAGAAGGCAGAGTCAGGGAGAAGCCATGGCTCCTCCACCTAAGATGGATGCCACCGGTTAGAATCTTTCCCGGTAAGCCACTGTCACGTGGCAATATACAGATTAATAGAAATGGGTTAAATCAAGATGTAAGAGTTAGCCTATAAGAAGTTAGCACTAATGGGCCAGGCAGTGTTTTAATCAATACAGTTTCTGTCTCATTATTTCGGGTGTAAGCTAGCCGGGCAGCTGGGACGAACAAGCGGGCCCTTCTGTAACATGATTGTTAGCCCCTCACAGGCCTAATCTGTAAAACAGACCTTGCTGTAAACGTGGGGAAAGACACAGCATATTTATAGGGTTTGGGTTTCGAACCCATTGGTGATCCTAGAGTAGAAGTCCCATGGATAAGGGAACTCATGCGCTTTTCTCTTCTCTTGACAACATTATTACCCCCAGAGAGACCAGAGAATTTCATGAACTCTAAGTGCCATTGGCTAGGACAAAGCCTTCTCAGTTGAGTCTGGAACATCCCTGCCTGCAAACAAACATAGATCTGAACGCAGAGCTGGTGGAAACTTTGCAATAAAAGGTTTCTATGTGCAATAACCAAAAATGGATTCAAAATCAAGCATGTGTCAAGTCCCACCAGCTTCTGACGGCGCTAGCTAGCGTCGCCCCTTGTGCCATGTGTGTAGCCAGCAGGTGGACCACATGTGTGCATTTTGCATAAAGCTTGTGCCACCAGACGGAAGCCAACGCTGCCCCAAGCAACCCTGTTCAAATCTGAGGCCATTGTACGTTAGGAGTTGTAGTGTTTTTGTTTAATGTACAAAGCTCTTTGCTCTTACCGAAACATACTCATTTAATTACCCAAAACAAGAACTTTGATATTTTCCTAGCAGCATTCCTCGGCATGTAAGTATCAAATTAGTACATCTTAGGATTGCACGGTGTTAAACAGGCAAGCATATCCGTCTCATTGGTATGTAAATTTCCCTGCGCCTTTAATAAATAATAAAACCACATGTACATCAAAGGATTGCCCTAAAATGAATTTCCGTACAATTTTAAGAAGCAAAGGTATCATCTGTGTACCTATAAAAATAGACATAAAAAATTGTGTACACATAAAATTTTCTCAGGCAAAAAGGCGGTTCTCTGTGTAATTTGCTGAAGAAGCCCTGAGCCTCAAGACCAGCTTCTCACAAATTGCTAAGAATCACACTGACAATGAACCCCAGCACATCACCATGGAGATGCATTCTGACTTCCGATATTAGAATATGAAAACAAATGTGGTTTGTTCTGAATTGCGTTCCTAAATCAACCGAACACGTTATGACAGTGCTCTCTGTGCCCACCTCCCCCGCCAGCTCCCTACGCAGCCCTTCATCTGTTCTTTGCTGTTGCTTCTACAGGCTGGGGTCACGGCAAGAGCAAAGAAGGACCTCTAGCCTCCATCCACGGTCCTGTTTATTGGGGTGCCTGCACCCCCTTCCAAGCATGTCACACCCTCTCCTCAGCCTAAGCCCTAGGAGGGATGGAAGGGGACTGACCAATGAGACCTTTGTGTCTCTGCAGCCTTTCTGCCTGCTCCAGCCCAGTGTCCCCGCTGGCTGATGTTCCTGCAGGGCCAAGGACTCAGGCAAGCAGATGGAAGTGGACATCAAGTACACGGCTCTGAGATGCAGGTCAGAGGGTGTGTGGCAGCCTAGCACACACAAAGCCCTGGATTCAAGCCCCAGCATATGTAAACTGAGCATTGCAGCACACACCTGTAATCTCAACACTCAAGAGGTGGGAGCAGGAGGTTCAGAAGATCTTTGGCTTCATGGTTGGAGACTAGCCTGGGCTACATGAGACCCTCTAAGACCGAGAAAGAAAAGGGGAAATGCGATGGCCGTGAGAAGCGCCCTTTCCAAGACCTGCTGGTGTGGAAACGTCCAGCGTCTTCCAGCTTGCTGCAAATGGATTTTAAGCCCTTTCCTGGCGTCCTATTTGCCGAGAGGCTGAAGGCCCAGTGTAATCCCTGTCTTCCGTCACACTTCATCGAGAGCCAGCACCCAAGAGATAACTTCCTCTCTTCCACATTCACCTCTGTGAATTAAATGGCTGTCTCCGTTTCACCAGCTGTGCAGGAGTCTCCAGTCCTGCTGGCTGCCGGGGCCCCATGGAAACCTCCAGCGATGGCTTCCATAGAACACAGTCATCATTGTCTCCCTCCAGTGTAAAATGCAATCCTGAATGAAATAAGGTTTTTCATTAGGATTGGGGAAAAAATGGGAAGTGTCAACCAAGAGGAACAGACAGAAGAGGGGCCACGGCCAGGGATGAGGGCTGTGAGTAGAGGTAGGGATTGTGGGATTGAATTCAGAGTGTGGAGGAAGATAAGGGAGCCTAAAGCTGCCAGCAGAATGGAGACTGAGCCAGAGGCATGCCACACATTTTTTTAAGGGATGTAAAGAGCGAGATCATTAAACCAGTCACCAGGGCTTCCGAGAGATAGTGGCAGTCATTTAATAAGAGGCCCGTGTCGCACAAATCTAAATTAATTCTCTGCTTGGCTGTTCCCGGGGAAGGATGGGGAAGTGTTTGCCAAAGTAAAAGATAACCAAAATATATTTTTTAGCAGAAGCAAAGTGTGTGTGTGTGTGTGTGTGTGTGTAAATAAGAGAACTGGAGAGAGTAAGAGACACGGGGTGGGAGATGGGAAAAAGACAAAGGCAAATGGGCGTGATCTCCTGGTTTTTGTGGGTTTGGCATGGTTTGTTTGAGATAGGGTCTCATGTCCCTCAGGCTGACCTCAAACTCCCTGTGGGCTCAAGAAAGAGACGGAAATCCTGATTCTCCTGCCTCCGCCTCCACAGTTCTGGAGTCAGGGTGGTGTGCTACCTCACCCAGTTTACCCCGGAAGTCAGGGCTTCTTATTGCTAGGCAGACGCTCTGCCCACTGAGCGACCTCCCCAGCTGTCATTCACTGCTTGGCATCAGGTGGAGTTTCTCTGGCAGGTGCTTTAGGCCTTAGGCAGCCTCTGCAGCCAGCCCAGGGCCCCCAGGGTTCCGTTCGCTCTCTTTGGTCCTGAGTCTTGCACTCCGGCTGGCAGTATGAGATCCCCACTCACCAGTCCCAAGTTCAGGGTTCTCCCACACCCTTCACTGCTCACGTCTTCCCACTTGAGGCTGAAAACCCCAGGGCTGAAATGGGACCGTGGATGAATGCCTGAGAAGGGCCCTCGCTGCACTCTGCAAGGATCCTTCCCTGGTTCTTCTGACATCTAAGAAAACACGTTAGTTTGGTGCTAATATGTTTTTAGCAGTTTCTAAGCCTGGTTTATCATCATGGTGAGCAAAGAAAGCAGGCTGGGTCAAAGGCAGGATGCAGCCCCGTGGGTCAACAGATTGCTCTTTCCTCAAGGCAATGTTTCTCGACCTGTGGGGCTCGACCCCCTCGGGGTTGAATGACCCTTTCACAGGGGTCCCCCGAGACCATCAGAAAACACATATATTTACATTATGATTCATAAAAATGGAAAAAT